AGGGCTGGCAAGGGCAGCAGCATTGGTGGGAACCTCCCTACCTTTGAAGCAGCACTAAGGAACAGCAAGCCAGGCTCACAGCTGGCTAGTGCAGCAGTGGTGGCAGGAGCCTTTTCCCACCTCTGCTGCAGGCGGGCAGTGAGAGGGCGCAGGCCAGGCTTAGGGACATACCTCCCACACCCTGTGCATGAATCTTGTGCACTGGGCCTCTAGTGAGTTGGTATTAATACAGTATATTAATTACTAAAATTCAAGTAATTTCAAATGTTAGAAGTAGCATTGTGTTCAAAACCCACAAAGAATTCCATAAACTTCTCATGGAAACCAGAAATGCATCAGGGTCTCACAAATTAGTAATATATTATTAAAATGAGGGGGGAAAAGAGAATAAAATGAAAAATATGCTTGTCTTCTGATCCTGAGAGTATTCTTTGGTGATCAGGATTATGACCAAGACTTAATCCTAAACAAGCAGTTACCTGTTGGAGAATAAACATAACTCACTAAATTCCACTTACTGATTTACTAAATTTAGGTCAGGGGTTTTATTGTCTGATTTTGTGCTTAATCATTTCTGAAAGGTAATCATCTTAGTTTACTGTTATTTTTAGAATGAAGTACTGAAAAGTGAAGAAGGCTGCATTCCAAATGTCGCCCCAGACATCTGCATAGCATATAAATTGCACCTCGAGTGCAGCAGGCTAATCAACCTTGTGGACTGGTCAGAGGTAAGTGGAGGGAGAAGAGCAAACTATATTTGTACACTAGCCATGACACTTTCCTGGGATGTTGTTTTTCTTAAGGTCTTTTTTGAAAAGCATAAATCACCTCATGCTTCAGAAATTTCTCAAAAATAGCAGCTTAATGTTCAGTCCCATTCACTCTGATCAAACCCAAGTTAACAGCAGAATCTGAGCAGTTTAGATCAGTTTTGTTATTCCATAAAATAAAAAAGTTTATTAACTACCATTTCCCTTATAGCACAAATGAAAAGAAAAACAAACAAACTTTGGAATAACTACACTAGCAATCAGGAAGCACAAGGAATAGTTGGCAAAGCCACAGACAACTGTTGTTCTTATTTTAACTATTCCTTCCCTCCTCAGAATACAAAGTTAACTATTGAAGGCCTTATTTTATAGATCTGTTGTTGCACCTTAAAAATATTCATAATTGGCTGCTTCCCAGAAAAACAGGCATTTTGCTGGGGTAATGGAGGTTGGGAGTATAGGATTCGGTTCATCCCTTGCTTTTCAACTTTGACTAGTAATTTTTCTCTGCACATTTCTTCTCTGAAATAACATTATACAGGAAGCACTCATAAATAACAGTTTTGAGAATCTGAAATTTGGTGTAATTGTTAAAAATGTGACAGTTAGCAGCAGCAGTGCTTGTCCTGGCTTCATACAGAGCCATCAAGGACAATTAAAGATGTTTGGCAACAGTAGAGATTTTTATTTTCTTCTGTCTTCTCAAAAGGCTTTTGCAACAGTTGTGACAGCTGCTGAAAAAACGGATGCCAATTCTGTAACCTCAGAAGAAAGGAATGACATTATTCAGTATCCTTTTAAAACCACTCTACAATGTCCAAGTATAAGTATAGAATGTTTGTAATTTTCCAAGATCTACATTCGAGATTTATAAAGACGTGATGCAACCAACCTTATTGATATTAACCATCTCATCCCAGAATGACGTTTCTAAATATTTAATCCAAACTTAATCTAAAATGAAGCCAAATCTAAAATATTTTATTTAAAACTTATAGCAAGATCATATTCCAAAATTCTCCAAAAATATCCAAAACTGTCATTATTGAATTCTCTATTTTTATAAGGTTATTAATGTACTTTCAAGAGTTTTCATACTATGGAAAAAACTAGGTAAATGTTAAGCACTTTTCCACTCATTTTATTGACTGGATTCTGATTACATTTAATATTTAATGGTTTCCCTCAAGGATTTAATTTAGGAGTATATTTTGAATTATTTGAGTTTATTAATGTCTTAACATCTTGTCAAAATACAAAATGGCCAATTTCCTTAACTATATCCTCCAGTGCTCGGTTCATTAGAGCTGTTTCTGAACTAGAACTTCTAGGATTTGTAAAACCTACCAAACGGAAGACTGACCACGTGGCAAGGCTAACATGGGGAGGCTGCTAGAAAGCAAATGAAGCCAGAGGATCACATTCAGTTTAAGAGAGACCAGTCATCCTTAGATACCACTAGAGGACAAATGTGTAATCCCCACATGATGTTTAACCAGAAAAGTAGACTGTTAATCCCAAACAGGGCCATATCAAAACACTTTCAGCATACTTTGGAATCCAGTAACACACGTACATTGCAACTGAAACCTTTCTCACATTATCATTAATTTTCACATTAATAAAATGTTCTTGAACATAGTATGTAAATGTAGTAACTTTATTCAGGAGTACAAATTATTTGCAGTTGAAGTAATAGTACTCATTCCTGGTCTAAGACATTTTGGAGGCAAATGGGAAAATGTGAGTATGGACTGGATGTTAATTAAATTAGGGGAGATAATAGTTTCTAGTTACACAGGATTACCTTATTCTTAGAAGCTGCAGTACGTACGTTCTTTGAAATAAATATAAACATAAATATGGTAGAATAACTTTTCACTTTAAGTAGATTATTTATTGACTGCTCTTTCAGCTTGAGTGTTTTCTGAATAAAAAAATGGGAACGAAGAAAATTCTTGAGTTTTGCTTTAAAGGTTATTATAAAGCAGAAAAGTAGGGCAAAAGAGCTAGAGGGAGTTACAGGATTAAAAGATTTCTAATGGCATGTTTATTATGCTTATGGGAATGATCTGGGAGAAAGAAAATAGATGCAGAAGAGAGGACTGACTGCTGGAATGGTTTAATGAGAGGATTTTGGATATAGTTTTTACCTAGAATGTAGGAACAATTTTTAGAGCCATGTCTGTCAATAGGGACAGGTTATTAGGTGCTTTAGCTAAATATTTAATACCAATTAGTGTACAACTTTGAAGGGAGTAGATGACCCAAATAAGACAATCACTTCTACCTAGGAAACATATTAAACAGATTCCAAAAGTCCTCCCCTCCCCTCCCCCATCTTTTAAAGCAGTCTCTAGGGCACATGTGTCAAACACAAGGCCCGCGGGCCAAATCCGTCCCGCCAGGCCTTGCATTGTGGCCCGCACAGCGCTGTCATCACTGCACTCTGCTGCGTTTCCATCACAATGACAGTTTATGACTGTTCAGTAAACCATTCGGCCCACGATTTAGGCTGGATTTTAGATTTTGGCCCCTTCTCTGATTGAGTTCGACACCCCTACTCTAGGGGTAGAACATGGGATCTTTCCAAAAGTTCTCCAGTTAATATTGTGATGCAAAAAACAAAAGTTGTCACTCCAATCAATAAAAAAAAAACACACCAGTTATTTTATATTTAATACTATGTGAAAACTTATATACTAAAAAGAATATGCATTCATTATTCTGATAAAATGTATTCAATCACTCCAGATTTTAACTTCCTACTTCCATTCTCCTAAAAATGCTATCTCACTATCATTGGTTCTCAGCTGGGAACGGTCTCCTCCCCCTACCGCCAGCATTTAGCAGTGTCTGGAGGTACATTTTAATTGTCGAAACGGGAGATTTGGGGAGTGTGCTACTACTGTTTCCCCGAAAATAAAAGTGTCTTATATTAATTTTTTCTCCCAAAGTTGCGCTAGGTCTTATTTTCAGGGGATGTCTTATCTTCCCATGCACTAGGTCTTATTTTTGGAGGATGTCTTATTTTCGGGGAAACACGGTAGTATCTAGTGGGAGAGGCCAGAGATGATGCTAAACATCCTATACTACACAGGATAGCCCTGCAAACAGGATGATCTGGCTCAAATTGTTATGTTGCAATTGGGAATCTGTACTAGTCCATTAAAACCAAATAGAATTGCCCCCTAACCCCCCTTATTGATGGCACATTGTGTTATACCAGTGTTTCTCAAACATTTAACGGGCATATGAATTATCTAGAAATCCTGTGAAAGCTCTACCTCATTTTGGCCTTGTTTTAAACAAAGAATTTGTAAAACACAATCACTTAAGTTTTTAGAAAGAAAAAAATAAACATTTTGTTTTTCTGACAAATTAAGTCATATATAAATCCTATCCAATAAAATCCTAATATGCAAATTGACCAAATAGAGAAACGACCAATAGCTGTTATGTGTACTGACCACCAGGGAGTAGATGCTCAATGCAGGAGCTGCCCCCTGGTGGTCAGTGCCCTCCCAGGGGGAGTGCTGCTCAGCCAGAAGGCTGGCTCAGGACTGGTGAGGGGGCCTCTCGAGAGCTGCACGGGGTGTAAGGAGCAAGGGATCCTGGACTGTGAGAGGGTGCAGGTTGGGCTGAGGGATGCCGCCTCCCCCCAACCCCTGCACAAAATTTCATGCACCAGGCCTCTAGTATACATGTATCTCCTAGGCTCGTGGTCGGCAAACTGCGACTCTTTGGCCCCTTGAGTGTGGCTCTTCCACAAAATACCACAGCCTGGGTGAGTCTATTTTTGAAGAAGTGGCATTAGAAGAAGTTTAAAAAATTTGGCTCTCAAAAGAAATTTCAATCATCATACTGTTGATATTTGGCTCTGTTGACTAATGTGTTTGCTGACCACTGTCCTAGGCCATTTATGACTGGGATATGCTAAAAGAACTCACTAAAGCATTTCCATTCATTTCATTATAGGAAAGCTTTGTTGAAAGTGACTTAAATGTGTTTTTGAAGCAAAACTTCCAAAGCTGTTAAAACTGATCAATCATGTAACAATTTGGAATCAGACTCAGCTTTTGAATATAGCACTAAAATCTTAGATTTGTAAAATGAAAATACTGATATTTAAGTCTTTTAAGTCAGATTAAATTGACTGGTTCCTAGGAAAACGTTTACAACATTGCCTTTATTCAAATACTACCCTTCTTACATTAAAAAACAAACAGATTAGAAGTAAAGGTTTTATTCTTCCAACTAAATTCCAGTACTACAAGGGCAGTAAAACAATGATACACTGTAGGGTGGGGGAATGCAGCAATAAACATTTGTTAAAAAGACTGATAGAATAAATAAAAACTACCAAGAAAAAAAAAAAGAAAAAAAAAATCATATAAATCCATTTTGAAACCCCGAGAAGAAATGCCCTTCTCCTTCACTATTTCACAGGAAGCACTGTAGGCTATTTGCTTAATAATGTCCTGGGATTACATTCTAAATTATTAATAACTGGTTACAGCTTGGTTGTAGTGCACAATTAAAATCACACTAACTTCATCTGAAGTGTCATTCTACAGTTTTATTTACACAACCAGTAAAGGGCATGTTCTTAGAATACCAGCGCTAATCCTTTCAAACATATTAATATGAGAAGCCAAATTGTAATGATACAGCAAGTAAGACCACTGGTATTAATACAGGTAGCAAAGGTCCATATCCAGATGGTACTGACATCAGGGAAATTTCCAAAACCAGTTGCTGCCTAAGAGTAATTGTCACTGACGAAAGCTTGAAATAACCTGTTTTCACAGGAGGGTTTTTGCATTGCTGCATGTCATAATTGGGACTTCTTGCAACAATTCAACAAGGAACAAGGCAGCCCACAAATGCAGAAAATGTGATTCATGAAACATCTAAGGGGAGAAAAGGAGAATTAGTGCAAAGTTCAATTCAAAATTCAAACACATACCAGATCTCTATCCCAATATTGCCCCAGATCAGCAATTCTCATGGCATACATAAACTAATTACTAAAATTCTGCAGCAGACCAAAAAATATATTTTTACCCATCAGACAAAAGAGGTATAATTTTGGCTCATTCACACCAATGGCTGCTGTAATTATTTTATCTGACAATCTAAGGGGAAAGGTCAGTACTCATGACTAGTCAGATATTCCATGTGTTAAAAATTCTTTCGGCACACTGGTTGAAAAAAATCACTGCCCTACGTACTTAAATAACAAGCCTTAGTAATATGTCATATTTCCACCAGGATTTTCCCATCATTTTCTATTTCATTCTCTTCTTAAGTATGAAGATAATGATAATAAATGTCTTCTCCTTAAAAGACTTGTCTTATTTTTAGTTCACATATGCAATACTTACAACTAGCAGGCTGTTCTCCATATCGTCGCATTATTTGATCATGTGTAAATTTCACAAATGCATCATATTGTTCTATAAGTAAAGGTATATGTGAATTACATGGCTTGTAAATATTCTGAAAATCCTGTATGTATGTATAGTGAAACAATTCTAAGTTGGCATTTAATCAGACATATAACTTCAGTAATAATGATAATGTGTCATATGAAAATTCACATTTTGGTCTAAAGCACAAGACCTCATGTATAGGCTGGGTAAGGCATATTTCTTAACCTATTAAAAATAAAGGGCTTGAAATAAAAAGATGTCTTTCTACTCTGAAATTATAAGTGGTCTATTAAATGGCAAATTTCCTGTAATGAGAGGAAATAAGGCAATGCTTAAAAAATATGATATATCCCCCCTTCCTGAAATCCACCTGTTATCTAATCAGATGTCACAGAAAAAGATGTCTTATATAAAGAATGTTTTTATTGATTTTAGAGAGAGGAAGGGCAAGGGGTAGAGATATATACACCAATGACAGAGACATCATTTGGCTCTCTCCCCCTACTGGGGATTGAGTCCACAGCCCAGTCATGTGTCTTGACTGGGAATTGAGCCAGGGACCTCTTGGTTCCATGGGTTTGTGCTCAACCTACAGAGCCACTCCTGCCAGGCTATGGCTATATTACTGCCAGAAGCCAATTCCAGCATGTCAGCAGGGCTGAATCGTGGAATGGCTGAGGGCATTTCCCCAAACCTGAAAAGGATGCATATATGATTGCTTGCTGCCAGAGAGCTGAGGGCATTTCAATCTACATGCTATTGCCTCCTGCTGGCCAAACACCTGAACAGCCGATGGCAGTTTTCCCCAATCTGACTATGGATTCTGTGTACTAAACCTTGGCCTTTGATGTGTTTATCTACCTTGCCTTAAGACAAATTGTATTAATAAAGAACAAGGGGTCCTGAGACAGAGAGAACTTGACTCCTTTAGCTAAGTCTTCTTTAGCTCCCCAAAATGCCTTCCAAAATTATGTTTCTTCTCTGGACTCTTCATTTTTTTTTTTAATTTTTTTTTTTAAAATGTTTTATTGATTTTACACAGAGAGGAGTTGAGAGGAACAGAGAGTTAGAAACGTCGATGAGAGAGAAACATCGACCAGTTGCCTCTTGCACACTCCCCACTGGGGATGTGCCTGCAACCAAGGTACATGCCCTTGACCGGAATCAAACCTGAGACCTTTCAGTCCGCAGGCCGACGCTCTATCCACTGAGCCAAACCGGTCCCGGCATGGACTCTTTAATAATTTACACATAGCTCCTTCTCCAGATTCCTGAATCCTTCTAGATGCTGGATTAAAACCCCCAGTGTTATATTAGTACCTTGATTCAACTCCTTAAGAATAAAAAAGCTTATAATATTGCTATCCAGTAAAATCTGTGGCTTAAAAATATGGTGGGAAGATTCTGATTACGTTACCACATGTAACATTGTATTTACTGCAAATTTTACTTTTAAAAAATTGTTTTACTGATAATTAAGACTGCAGCAGCCCAGCCAGTGTAGTTCAATGGCTGGGCATCAACCCAGGAACCAAGAGGTCATAGTTCGATTTCTGGTCAGGTCTTGTACTTAGGATGTCGGCTCCAATCCCCATTATTGGGCGTGCAGGAGGCAGCTTGATCTATATTTCTCTCTCTTAGATGTTTCTATCTCTTTATTCCTCTAAAAATCAATGAAAGTATACTAAAAAAAAAAAAAAAAAAAAAAAAAAAAAAAAAAAAAGGCTGCTGCAGCTTGATACTCTAAATTGATGTAAGATTATTTCAAGTTTCTAGTCAAAGTTATCATGAAAGAAATAAAGCCCAAAAACCCAATCAAATTTACCCAATATATATGAAAAAATAAATCTAGTTCATTAATACTGGTGCTGATCTATATGGCTAATAAATACTATGTCTTTAAGTTACAGAGGACCATAAACTACAGAAAGATTAATTTCCTTTCGTGAACTGAAATTCTCTGGTTCTTAGAAAACTTATTATACCAGTCTATACAGAAAGGGTTAATTCAATTGACATGAAGTATAACTGGGAAATAATGCATTTCTTATGGTGAGTTTCTGATAGACTAAATAAACTCATACCTGCAAGTTTTGTGTTCAGTATTTCTTCATACTCTTCTCGAACTTTCTCTTCACGTTCTTTCAACAAACGTTCACAGATCATCCCAACCTGCCTTAGAGTGAATAAGGGCTGTTCTTTTTTTAACGGTGAAGATGTCGCAGATGAAGTCCCTATGTATAAAACATGAAGAACAAAGAAAAGCAACTGATTTAGGGCTGCCATAGAAAAGCGTCTTGTAATGGAAGAGGTCTCATTTGAATATTTTGCTGTGATTGGAAAAACAGCAAGATGAATGCAATCAAATATTAGAGAAAAAGTCTGAAGATGAGTGGAGAAAACTACAAAATACAAACAAAACTTAATAAAGTTTGTTTTTTTAAATTAGTGATATTAGCTAGGAGACCACTTTGTAAAAATAAACAGTGAGAATATATTATTAATATTAAATATTGAATTTAATTGTTCAAAGTCCTTAAAGATTATTGATCTTTTAAAAGCCTCTTGGCGTAACCAGATAGCTATGCTTGATACAAGATTTCTTTCTTCAGCCCTGGCTAGGTGGCTCACTTGGTTGGCGTGTTGTCCTGTATAACAAAAAGGTTGTGGGTTGCATTCCTGGTTGGGGCATGTATGGCAACTGATCGATGTCTCTCTTTCTCTCTCTCAAAATCAATGAAAATTAAAGAAGAAAAAAAAAGATTTCTTCAGAATGTATTTCTCTTAAGGCAATTTTATTTTCAAAAAATATAATTCCTGCCGAAACCAGTTTGGCTCAGTGGAGAGTCGGGCTTGGGAACTGAAGGGTCCCGGGTTCGATTCCGGTCAAGGGCATGTACCTTGGTTGCGGGCATATCCCCAGTGGGGGTGTGCAAGAGGCAGCTGATCGATGACTCTCTCATCGATGTTTCTATCTCTCTCCCTTCCTCTCTGTACAAAATCAATAAAATATATTAGAAAAAAAATATCATTCCTCATATCTTAAAAAGAACATCTAAAATGAATATTTTTGAGAACTCAGGATTTACAAGCATCCATTGTAACATTGCTACAAGTATTCTATGCACACACAAATACAAAGATTTACTACCAATCGTTTTTCCTGCTATGTATACCTGTCCCTGGTGTAGCCCCAATTCCTCTTTCATTTGTGACTGATAGCCTGCATGACTGGGACCAGTTAACTGCTTCTTTGAGCTGTGGCTATATAACAAGAATAAAGTATCCCAGAACTTTATTTATACCACCTAAAGCAATGCATAACTACACTAAGACTATGTTTACTTTCAAATTCCCAGGTTTTTTTTAAAATATATTTTATTGATTTTATACAGAGAAGAAGGGAGAGAGATAGAGTTAGAAACATCGATGAGAGAGAGTCATCGATCAGCTGCCTCTTGCACACCCCCTACTGGGGATATACCTGCAACCAAGGTACATGCCCTGGACCAGAATCGAACCCGGGACCCTTCAGTTGACGCTCTATCCACTGAGCCAAACCGGTCCCGGCAAATTCCCAGTTTTGTTAGTTGAACCTGCCAGTTAATTGATCTATGAAATAAATAGACTAATCAATGATTATGATCTTCATCCTTTGATAGTCTAGTCTCTACACTTACCTCCCCAGACTACATTTTCATCCACTTATACCTGGCCTTCCAAAGTGGCAGGAGTGCTGTAGAATTTAGTTTTGAACAAGTTCATGTTTCTTAATCTAATTTTATTTCACTGTTTTTACAGCCTTTCAATGTTTATTTATTTATTTTTTCTTTTCAATTCTATCAGATTTTCCTATCCCTGCTGGGAGGGGAGAGAAAGAAGGCAGGCACTATTGTCACAAGAAAGACTATTTTGCTGAGAAGTTTACTAAAGATAAGAACCACTTTTGACGGCTCTTTTAAGTAAGATGATTTACTTCCCCTTTATTTCAAATAGCCTTCATTTTTCTGCTCTTTTTGTAAAGTGTATTTGCAAACTACTCCCCCCAACTAAAAAGTAGGTATAAAACAACACTGGATAAAAATAATACATGTTTTGGAATCTATCCTGACAGGACAAGTGCATAATATACAAAAGACAAATTCTTGTAAATACTATAGCAGAAATTCTGAGTCTAATTCATTAATAGTATGGTAATCATGGGAAATCCATAAAATGGCATAGTATTCAGCCATGGCAAAGTACATATGTACCTAACAGAGAAGCACATGGTATACTTTACTTTTTTTTTTTTTAAATGAAAGTTTCAAATCACAGCGTTTACTTATTTTTGTACCATGTTTTTTAAGTGATCATGAATTACTTGAATAAATGTGAGATTTTTGTTTTTTGTTAATCAAGGGAAGAAATAGAAAGTTAAATGTCTAACGGATTATTTTTTCTATACTAAGTAACATTTCCTTTTAGTTTATTATTACCTGGCGAAGCTGGTCCACTGAGAAGAAATGCATGTGGTTGTGCATCAGAAGTACAACATGGATCCGTCTGCTGAAAACTAGTTTCTAAATGTCTTCTCTTCTGCATGCGTTTATACTCTTGTTTTATGTTGTACAGAATTTGTTCTAAAAGAAAAAAGTTAAAAGTTGGCAAGATAAAAACTTTCAAGTTTTTAAAAAAGGGTGGTTTATATAAACTAGCTTATGATAAAAACTGGTTTTGTTATATGTCATTTCACTAAATGTCAGAGAACATGTAAATGATATTAAGTGAGGACCTACTGTACATCTTTAAGAAGTTACTAATCCCAATCCAAAGCCAAACAAAAATTAAAAGTGAGAACTGCCATTCAGCAAAATGACAAAATACATGAGAACTAAAATATTATCATATATTAAATGGCAATAGCCATTAATATGAAGCTCAACAGAACCTATGACAAGGCATTAACAACAAACTTTTGTTCTGAATATTTGGAGTAAAAATCCATGTAAAATGCTTGGTATATCACTGGTAATTAGTTAGAATCTCTACACCATGGTGTCATTATCTTCAACCATGGAAACGGATAAAATTATATCAATCATATCCCTAAAGTCAGTATGATTCATTTTAGAACAATTTCTAATTCAAAATAGTTACCATTTAGCTTCTTCAGAAAATCCCTCCCTGAGGTTCCAATGTCCCTCCTAACAGACTTTCTCACAACCACCACAGCCCCTAAATTTAATAGGCTACCCATCTGAAACTACAACAGGTCCTTTCATATCATTTCATTGAATGTCATTTTAATATAACATTGATGAGATGCCATAGGAATTTAACTCTTGTATATATCAATTAGCTATGGTAAAACTGGGTTGTACTTCAATGACCAAGAAATTAATGATGCCAATCCAAATGGTAACCAAGAGGTAATAACATAATCCATAAATATAGGAAGAGTGTGACTTTATCAATTATATAATGATGAATTAAATATGAACTAAAAACTGAAGGCTAGCAATTTTTTAAGATAAGAATGACCCTTTTAAAAAGTATTTCATACTGATTATTTTCTTAGGCATATATTTAATTTCCTTTTCTCAGTTTATATTGTTTCCTAGTAAGTACTTTTAAGGCTTTTGAGAGAGAAGACTAAGCAGACATCAATCACTCCTTTGGACATTATAGATCATGCAATTTCATTATTTTTAACTGAAAAGGGGGGAAGAAAAATTGCAAGAGCTATATTCAGTGCAGATTTCATTTATGTAAATTTTGTGTGTAACAAACCTGTTTACATATACAGTATATGAATGTGCAGTGTAAGCACAAAAACCACACTTTGGAATAATTAACTTTTAGGGTAGTTGTGTGAGGAATGCTTTAGCTATATTTTTCAGAATATTAGCATTTGTTGATGTCAAAGTTATTTTCAGTCTTGATCGATTTATTTGCAATAGTTTACCATTTAAAATCAAAGTTATCAGTGTGAAGTAAAATGGCTATTTGAATAGTTAAGCACCTTAATAGAAATGGGTTTCCAAAGATTCACAGGTGTCCATTAAAACCAGTGCAACATTCTATTCCAACCAGGACAAGTTCAAGCATCCTTATTTTTTTTAACCCTTTCAGTAGCAATATTGTAAAAGGTTTCAAGGTTATGAGGGTTTAGTCTCGGATTTTTTTTTGTTGAAAGCTAACATCATCACCATCAAAAGTGCCATTCAGAGCATTGTAAAGTTTATTCACAACCAGAGATTTCAAATGTACAAGGCAAAGAGTAACTTGACCTTAACATCACTCATATGATTTCTAGTTCACCAATTTAGATGTACTATACATCTAACAGGATGCAACTATGTCATCTAAGCCTCAATGTGCCCTCAAACCCTTTAATACTGGTAACATGTGAATAACTTGACTAAGATCTTAGCAACACAAATAGTAAAAGGCTAATACCTACAAACTTAATCTTATATCTCAGTTCAGAGGTGAAAGCAATTTTGAAAATTTCCTTAGATTCAATTTAATACCACCACACACATACACTGAGTGGCCAGATTATTATGATCTAAGTATAGATCATATGATCAAAGTATACCTAATGTGCAAATTATCCCCTCGACCAGGAGTTCGACTAGCAGGCAGGCCAGCCAACCAGCCATATTCCCTCCCCTTGGCCAGGGTCTGAATTCATGCACTGGGCCTCTAATACATACCTACCTACACACACACACACACACACTGAGTGGCCATATTATTATGTGTTCAGAGATCATAATAAGCTGGCCACTCAGTGTAGTAAGCTCTAGTCTGATTTAAGTTGCTTTCAAAAAGGCCTTCCATATATCAATAAAGTACCTATGTTCACTTAATCATAAATCTAGCCATCTCTTAGCAAACTAGCAAGTGACATTTTATTCCAAGTACATGTAACATCTGACATTGTTTTGCCAACACAATTTGCAGTCCATTAAAGAAAAAGTCAAAGCTTCACTTACACGATCAGTTAGTTGCACATTTGAGTTTGAATCACGCAGCTTTCCTGCTTGACCAGGAAAAAAGATTGGATTTGCAGTAAACCACTTACTAGTAAAATATGTAGTTATCTTCATGACAATCTACCACAACAAATGGCTGTATATCGCTTTTCAAAAAGTCCTAAAAACTACATCACTCTTTTATAAAAGAATACTGCTAACTTTTTTCCCACTGTACTAGATTAAGTAAAAATCAGTATTAGCTTTTCATTCCCAAATCTAGTAAATGACATTGAGGTTACAAATAAAATTCTCATCCTTTAACAGGTAATAAGAGATTATCAATGAGACAGCACTTACTCCTTTGGGATATTAAAAAAGAAAAAATAAACAGAAAATAAACAGAAACAAACAAAAAAATACCACGTAAATGGGAAAATAAAAAGCAAGAGTTGATGAGGGTAAGAAAAATGGCATTAAGATGGGACTGAGAGCAAAAGGAGAAATACAGATCTAGAAACAACTAAAAATGTGTTTAGAGGACCAAAAAATTGTAAGAGGGGAGGAATCAAATATCTTTTTTTCTAGAGTAGAGTCCACAAAATGTCTAAACATCTGTGATATTGAACTTTTGGTCTGGACTTATATAGACTTGCTGTTTTCCTACTGATATCATTAATAGATCAAACACAAGTTTCACTAACCATTTTAAGTGCAGGTGTAGAATAATACTCTTTTATTTCACATTGTGTACTAATTTTTCTATGGCATATTTTTGAAAAACACCAAGTGAAAGTTCATTTAGATAGATGCCTTCAACAGTGGGATTAAAATAAATGAAATAAATCTTGAAAGTTTGTCAGCTCCAGGCAGGAACACAAATCTAATGGAAAACCTATACACAAGTACAGAAAACCTGCAGTAGCCATTTAAAACCTAAAACTAAGAAAATGTTCCAAATTAAGATAAAATCTAAAGCTTTGAACTATATACTAGGCATGTCATGACCACTTTATAAATTACAGCACTCAATTAACAGTTGCTATCAAGACCCATCTTTTGTAAATCAATTATTTTTCCACGATCATCTGTTCAGAAACAGTTTTCACATTCTCCTTAAAGAAATCCTTAAGGATAATGTTCTTATCCAGCCAAGAGCTATGTAAGTAGGTTAAAAGAATGTGCTGATGTTGTTTTTAATTCACTTTAAAATTATTGCTATGTCAAAGGGACCTGAAACCAAACTTTAACAAAAAATTGTAAAGTTATATCTACAATCTTAACTTCTATTTGGATTATAGTAAATCCTAACAAGCGTAATATAGCTGTTCATTATTATATAAACATTAGGGTATTATTTACAGTTCTTAAAAAAATAATTATATAACATTTTAAATGTACTAGTGGCCTGGTACATTTTTATCCACTGTGGGGGAGGGGGTGTTCCTCAGCCTGGCCTGCACCCTCTCCAATCTAGGACCCCTCAAGGGATGTCTGACTGCCGATTTAAGCCTGATTGGGCATAAACCAGCAGTCGGACATCCCTCTCGAAATCTGAGACTGCTGGCTCCTAACTGCTCACTTGCCTGCCTGCCTGCCTGATTTTCCCTAACCACTCTGCCTGCTGGCCTGCTCAACCCCCGCCCCCCTCCAGCCTGTTCACTCACCCCCAACTGCCCCCCCTCCCCCTGGCCTATCACCCCAAATGCCCCACCCCCTTCCCCACTGGCCTGATCACCCACAACTTCCTCCTCTCTTGGCCCCTAACCACCTCTACCTCGGCCCCACCACCATGGCTTTGTCCAGAAGGTCTGGGAGGTCTCCCAGTCTAATTAGCATATTGCCCTTTTATTAATATAGAGGCCTGGTACACTGGCAAGGTTGGCTGACTTGCCCTGAAGGGTGTCCCAAATCAGGGTAGGGGTTCCCTTGGGGGGTGGGGCAACCTGGGCAAGGAGCTGATGCTGTTTTCAGGCTGGCCACAACCCCTTCAGGGTGGGGGACCCCGCTGGGGTGCCTGGACAGCCTGGGTGAGGGGCTGATGGCTGTTTGCAGGCTGGCTACATCCCCCAGTGGGGACCCTCACCCCATGAGAGCATGGTCAGCCTGGGTAAGGGGCTGAGGGCTGTTTGCAGGCCACTCCCTCGGCACCCGGCTCAGGCGGGCAGGAAGTTTGGCTGCCTCTGTTGCTGGAGCAAACCAAGCTTCCCTCCTGCTATGGCTGCCTCCGTGGCTGCCACCTTTGTCCTGATAATTTGCATATTCCCTCCTGATTGGCTGTGTGCATCCCAGAGTGATGGTCAATTACCATATTTCTCTCTTAGTATAGATCAGCAGCATTCACTGGTTTCCTACAGGAGGAAGAAAAACTATAATCATTACAGGTCAAATTCTATTATTTCACTGGTACTATAATAGCCAATGATTATTTATTTGAAATGACTCAATCTATTAAAACCCTGCCAGGCCGAAACCGGTTTGGCTTAGTGGGTAGAGCATCAGCCTGCAGACTGAAGGGTCCCGGGTTCGATTCCAGTCAAGGGCATGTGCCTTGGTTGCGGGCATATCCCCAGTAGGGGGTGTGCAGGAGGCAGCTGATCAATGACTCTCTCATCGATGTTTCTAGCTCTCTATTTCTCTCCCTTCCTCTCTGTACAAAATCAATGGGAGTCACTAATGCAAGGAGTTCAACAATGCTCAAACAGCAGATGTCTCTTCCCTGATACCCAAGAAGCTTCATACCTCTATTTTATATTACATTGTATTCTAAGGGGTATGTTAACCCTGTTGCTTTTGCTGTTCAGCCCTTAACTATCTGCAAGTATCTCTTCAAACAGTTTGCAAACTAGAAAAACACAAAGTAATAAGAACAAAAAAAAAGCAGTAAATGAATAACAGAAAGAGGAAAGTGAACTATCCAAATCCAAATCCTCAAGCATGCATGTTAGAGAAGCCTTGGTTCCAATTTACCATGGCCATGAGGATAAGGCTTGGAAGGACAGACAGAACAGTCAAGCTGAGGAATAAACCAGTCTTCTAGTTAGGGCACCTAAAACACACATACATTGAGCTATAGCATACCTGGAAACCAGGTTGCAAACTGATGATTGACAGACTAAAGACATATCTGGCTTGAATACTTAAACAAGTATGAATTTGTGACTGTCATTTAAAAGTTAAGTATTTTACATTAAAAGTCAAGTTTTTGCTACGTTGGAGTGAGGGAGGAATTGTATATGCGGTAAAATTCAGCTAAGAGTAGCTGCTACCTTTGGGCATAAGTTCTCAAGTGCTTTTAAACTTCCAAAGAATACATATATCACATAGGGATTTATTTTATTTTATTTTATTATTTTATTGCTTTTTTACAGAGAGTAAGGGAGAGGGATAGAGAGCTAGAAACATCGATGAAAGAGAACCAACCAGGTGCCCCCTGTGCACTCCCTACCAGGAATGTGCTCGCAACCAATGTACATGCCCTTGACTGGAATCAAACCTGGGACCTTTCAGGCCGACACTCTATCCACTGAGCCAAACCTGTTTTGGCAGGATTTTTTTTTTTTTTTTTAAATGAAGATTGAGGAATGGGGCCTCAGATTCTGCATTTTTAATAAATTTCCAGGTGATGCTGCTGATCAGTAGGATTGGAATCCACTGGTTCCCACATACCTTATGGACATTAAAGTTTCTATCCAATTAAAAAGTGGTTAGTTTGTTTTATTGGCCATACCAGGAAATGGAGAAAGAAAAGGAGTAACAGCAGAAATTATTACAACTATAAATATATGTAAGATGTACTAAATACACTTTGCTACGCTCAAATGCATAGCTCTTCTAGTTCAATGGTAGACATGCACTCCTCCCCAGCAGGAAAATATGTAAATCAACTTGAACTTGATTGGATCTACCTCAGGAGACTCTTTACATGGCATTAACATACACATATCCATTTTTCCTAACACACTTTTCTTAAAATCCATGTTCATTATGTAATCAAGTGAACAAATGCATCTGCTTTTATATGTCTGCTTTTAAAAAGCAATTAAGACTATATCACACCAGAAGGCACTGATTAGAAGTCCATAGATATCTTGTTTATTCCATATATATTATAAATTAGTTAGGAATATTTAAAATTCAACATATTTCACAATTGTGAAGACTATATCACACCAGAAGACACTGATTAGAAGCCCACAGACATCTTGTTTATTCCATATATATTATAAATTAGGAATATTTAAAATTCAACATATTTCACAATTGTGACTTCTAGGAGGGTAGGCTACTAAGATCTGACAATAATAAGGTCCATGTGCTCAATGGCCTGAACTGAGAGAAATGGTCTTAAACTAAAGATATAAAGAGTTATCTATGAAGGGAAACTGAAGTCTGAATCATGAAATGTGACTGCTTAGGGACTATGAAGCTAAACAAAGTGAAGCTGAAATCTATAGCTAAGGAACTCTTAAGTTTAATGGCCACATGAAGACAAAACAGCCAGAGAATTGGAAGAGTATTGTCACAGAAGGGAAGAAAAAAGTATTTAAAAAAAAAAAAGGGAATAAGTCTGTAGTGTTATAAGAAAGGTCAAACAAGAAGAGGATTCACAATGTGCCATGTTAAGTCAGATTTGACAAGAGCTGTTTAAGGCACAAATATATCTGGAGTGAGTAGAAAACTCAAGAAATTGAAGCAAATAGATTACCCGAAAGCTCTTCGAATTTGATTTTGAAGTGGAGGACTTTGGATGACTGCTGAAGGAAAATGAGGATGTTTTACTTACTTTATAATGGGAAATTAAAGGAAAGGTCTGGTTGGGAGAGAAAAATAGTTGAAGAAACGTTCCTTTGAAAGGAAATGGGATCCTTCCCCACACTGTCAAGTGCTTTAATTATCTCACTTAATTTTTCTCAATGATACTAAAAGGAAAACAAGATAGGCACAAATGCTGGTAGTGTTGGTACAGGGAAAAATGAAGAATTCGCCATACAATGGGTTCTATTTTTTTCCTGTGAAATACAAGACAAGGCTATTCACTAAAATAGCAAGATTGCTGGACATTACACTGTCACATTTGAGGTTCTCTTTTGTGACCCTTTTCAGCACTCAGGGACAGGAAAGCTCAACCCTAATAACCCCAGAAGGGAGAAAACTATCACCATGTGCATAATTTGAAGTTTTGCTTTAACCTATTAACCGGGAAGTTCCCTTTTTAATTGCGCAACCTGTAATGGGCACGTACTCTTTCACTAGGACATGTCAGTACGTCACGCCCAGAGGACGTAATTTCATATTATCATTTTTTATTTATACTTAATTAAATGATATATAATTTTTCATTTATTTATATATAAAGCACGAAGGAAAATACAAAATTACAAAAAAATAGAAAAGAATACCAACAAAAAATGGAAACATCGAATTAAAAAATTATAAATTTTACAATTATAAAGATTACAGAAAATATATATCGTCCTTCTCAGGGCGCAACATATATTTCCAGGATGTATTCATACGTCCTACCCGTTCCCGATATTGTTTACGTTTGACGTATTTATAGGTCCCGCTCAGTTAACAGGTTAATGTCAGCTGTATTATGGCAGAGCCAACCCTGATCTCTTGGGTCCACACTCTTAATATCCACTCCCCTCTCAAGTATTTGCACTACTATACCTAGCCAGCATTCTACAATCACCTGAAGCTATGACTAGAGACCCACTGCACGAAATTTGTGCATGCGTGCGGTCCCTAGGCCTGGCCAGCAATCTAAGTGCGAGCAACTGGCATGGAAGGGCAGATCCCAGCTGACCTCTGGGCCCTGGGAAGCACCTGGGCCCCTGGGTCCCCACATGCAGATGCAGTGAGCACAGCCTGCAGTGTCTGGCCGGTGCACAGTGTGGGCCTCTGGGCCACCCAGTGGCACCGCATGGAAGCTGCACAGGCAGCACACTCTCTCCCAGCCAGCCTTGTAGACAAGCTCCTGCATGAACCCATGAGGAGCCTAACCAGCCCCTATGGGCCCGGCTCACCAGAAGTGGCTGCATGGGTGCAGGACAGGGTCCTCATGGGCACCCAGCACCTGAGCATGGGGCTTCCTGGCATGCAAGCCCTGGCGTCCTGGTGGAGGGTAGCAGGGGGAATGAGAGCAAGTTTGACACCTTGCATTCTCAACACACCTCCATCTCCTTTGCCCCCGCCCAACCGCCTCCCATCCCGCTATCCTGGGAGCCAGGTGGTGGCCCCACACCACGCAGCTGCTGGTCGCAGTCTGTGGGGGGACTGGTAGGGCAACGCACCTCCCCTCCCCCCATGCTTGGTCTGACACCACCTGCTCCACCATCCTGTGATGCACACCATGACCCATGCTGCCCCCTGGTGGTCAGCGCACATTGTAGCAAGGGGTCAAACTTCCAGCCGAACAACCGCCAATGGGGATAATCTTCATATTAGCCTTTTATTATATAGGATTACTACCATGTATCATTGCTACATCATACCCTGAAACTTCAAACTTTGCGACTTAAGATGGTAGTAACCAAAACGGAACATAATTCTCATCTACCTAGAGATCTGAAACAATGATCACTGGCTAAAACAGATTATAAGAAATCTTCGTTACATTCAGGTATTTACTTAAGGGATGCTTCAAGAGTCTCTAAATAGGCACCTATATCTAACCAGAATGTTTTATTGGTATCTTAAAAGTGAGAAAGTATTTTAAATTAGCAGATCAGCATTGCCATGCAGTACTGACTACAATGCCAGCCTCTGATAATGTATTATTTTTACCATTGGCCATGGATGGGTTATTACAGTGAGCATCAGGTTTCCCTGTTGTCACAGCAACCTAAAACCTATACTGTACTAGTAAGCCAATTACACACTTAGAAAAGCTTTGCTGCAGAGAATACTTCAGCACTAGGAACAAGGCAATCCTCTATAATAATTAAGAGGCAAACTCCAGGGATAGCAATGTTTTTAAAAATTGACTTTTTGCAAACTTTCAAATTCCACTCTATGTTTTGTTCTTCGGTTGCTAAATCAATGCAACAATACTTTTTTTTTTTTTAAGAAACAAAAGAAAATCAATTCTCCCAGGTCCCTTCCTCCAACCTTTCCCTTTAGAGTTTGATTTCTGGAGCCTTTTTTTAAGAATTAACATTAATGAAAATGAATGCTAAACTAAAGTTAAACTATACATCATAGGTTGAAGCAATTTCAGAAATAGCCAATAAACAACACTCACCTAAAAAGAGTAACTTTTTAAGATTTCAAAAGTAGTCAACATGTGATTTAATAACCCAATTTTAAGACTTGGGCTGTCAAAGGTGAAAATAATTCTAATGTGGATAAAATGTTC